AACAGCAGGCTATGGAAAAAAGCTGGCCGCATATCCCTCCATTTTTGGCAACCGTCTATAACAGTCTAATTAGTTTGTCAGATGGAATGTGTACTATAAATGTTAATCAGGAATATATGCAAGGAAGATGACCACATAAAGGTGCCACTTTGGACTTTTATGCAAATAAACTATGAATTGGTAATCAAAGATGCATCTGATTGAAGGAGAAGTGTACTGTACTGGAGAAAGTTGGAGGGCTGTTTCAATTATCTATCTGCAGTTGAATGATAAAGTTGGCTAAATGTTACATTAAGTACTTTGCCTTCCAATAAAAGTGATCCAAAATCACAGCATCAAGATTACAAACATCTAGTTTTACTTTTTTTTCTTTTTCAAAATAAATCTTTATTTCATTTCTCCATAGGAATATAAATGATCACACAACTTTAGGCATGTATGTGTTTTATACTCCTTACAAAATTTTAAAATTGGTCCTCAAAGTGGCATAGGATTGAGCCATTTTTATCCAAACAGCCACTACATCAGGATGATAGGTTTTCTGCTATGGCAGGGTTTGATTTTGAAAGAAGGGTGCGGGAACTGGCTTTGGTTTAGTTTGAAGGAATACTTTCCTTCTGCTAGAGCAATGCAGAGCAAGGGGACTCTAAAACTGCCTCTTTCACTGCACAGCAGCTGAGGGAGAATGTCGTCTACTACCAGAAGACAAGCTCCCCCGCTGTTTGCATTGCAATTAGAAGTTGCACAGAAAGACAAGCTCTCCCTGAGAATTATCACTGTCAACAGTGTTGATGGTGTTTTGAATAGGTGCAGTATTTGGAGATCCCATCACTTTCCATAGTGTCACAAAACCCTCTCCAACACTCACCGCTTCTTCCTGATCCTCACTCAGGAACCACTAATAATACGGGCTAGTCGGTTGTGAATTTGTCCTTGCACTGGCTCACATGTCAACACTTCACCATCTACTGTCATAAAGCCCTTGGGCTCTAGGGGCTCCAGCCGAAAGGCTTTCACAGGCACATAGTGGAGATGAGGGCTGTTAAGAGCCAAGTGGTTCCCTTTGTCCATGGCCATGAAGAACTTGACCATTCCCATCCGGGAAACTCCAGCACTTACGTAGAAGAGATGGATGGCGTCATCAAACAGCTTGGCTGTGGGAGCCAAAACAAGGTCTGCTCCCAGGTGGGACTGATGGATGCCAATTATAGAGACAAACTCCTCGTCAGGGGCAACAGTCCAGTGCTTGGGAACTGGTTGCTCAAAGGGTACCAACAAGGAGTCTTCCAGCACAGAGTCCTCCTTTGGGAGGGAAGATGCAGGCGGAGGGAGGATGTGGACTGGTGATTTCCCATTAGCAGTGGAGACCTGGTGAGGATGCTGAGCTGAAGGGCAGGTATTGGCCCCTGTAGGAGGCAAGGAACTTGAGGCAGGGCTTTGTGCTTCGGCTGGCAGGTAGGAGAGACGGCCCTTGTAAACTTGGAGTGAGGTAAGGAGTTGGAATGTGCCCACTGTAAAGCGAGCATTACCCAATTTGCGGTACCTCTCACTGGTAATGTCCACATCAGAGACAAAACCCCAGCCAAAGCTAAGAAAGGAGAACAGACGCTTGCCTGAGGCCGTGCAGAGGGAGACGAGGTCCATGGGAGCATGCAGGCCTTTGCATAAGAAGTACGTGCAGTTCATCAACAGGTCTTCCTTTGTGAAATGACCCTTGCTGTAAGGGGGAGGGGAAGAGAGGGAATGACAGCCCAGGTTAAACCATGATTTCTTGAACAAGCCATTCCACATGCCCTGGTAACTCTTTGGGCATAACATTGAACTATAAACCCCAATCTACAATTGCAAGTTTGGGTTCACACATCATGCTAAGTTTTAACCAAGCCATTTCATTGCTGAGTGGGATGTGCAAGCCCACCCATGGGGAGAAGTATAAATAAAGTGGCACAGAAAACTAGCACAGGACTACTGTTCCAATGTATTTAGGATAAGCATATTCTAAGAAACATAAGCTGCCATTTGAGCAGCCTCCTCTCCTATATATCCCAGGTCCTCCCCTGCTCTTTGATGCCAAGGTTGCACCGCGTGCACTCTCAGTCGCTCCAAACATCACCACCAAGATAAAACGTTTTAATGTGACAAAAGTCATCTGGCATAATCGCATTCACAGTGAGATTGTAAATGTGTCATTCACATGCCAAAGGCAGCCCACAGCCTGAGAGAACTGTGTCTCTATAGGCTGGTGCTACTACAGAATTGTTCTCCTTTGCTTGACTTCTCCCATCAGAAACATGCAAGAATATTGAACTTGGAAGAACATCTGATCTCACTGCAGCACCTACTGGATTAAAGATACTCTGTGAATGACATGTGATGCTACTTTCATATGGTAAGGTTATACAATGAGAGTTCTACAATGAGGGAGTGAGTAGCAACCCTAGTACACAGATAATAGAAATTCTAGTCCAATCTCCCTTAACACTTCAGGGGTTCTTGATATATGCCCTCTTACAAATTGCCTTCAGCAAAAAGGCCCTTCTAGCAACCCAAATAAGATTCAAGATGCCATTGCCACAGCAGTAGCAGACCAGGCTAGGGGTGAAGGTTGTCAATAACTCTCCCTTGAATATTAGTGATGGACATGCTCCACAGTGCTTAGAGCACTCTGCTGGTAATGATGCTGTTCAACTTCAAGGAGCTGATAGGTGTCCAATACTTTCCTCTTTTAACCTGAAGAAACGAGTATCTAATTTTTCAACAATAAAAGAAAGAAGAAATGCAGAGAGCATCATCTTCACACAAGCAGCAGACTTCCATGCCACCATAACAAAAATCCAAAAGAGGGCATTGCTGTCATGAATTGTCTCTGTTTATGCCACATTTGAAAGCAAAGTTTTCACTGAATGCTCACTGGTAACTTTAACCTTCCTTCTAATAAATATAACCAGAGTTCAGAGAGTCTCGGTAGTTGCACTTGACTTAAGGGAGGCATTATCGCCGCCATTCTAGAACCTTTATATTGATTCTGAACAGGTTTGAGAAGGAAGCTCCAATATGTGAAAATGAAGGTCAAGGCGGAGCCCTGGCACCAACTAAGCTCTAAAAGACCAAGTCAGCCCCCAATTGCCGGCTTAGTCTTATAGCCACATTAAGGCAACACCCTTCTTAGGCCTACTGATGGCTTTAAAAAGAGTTTGCTATGTTGTAAGCATTCAGTGAGAGCCAGTCTGGTGTAGCAGCTAAAGCAGCAGGCTAGAACCTGGAAGACCATGAGTTCTAGTACTGCTTTGGCAGGAAGCTGGCTGGGTGACTTTGGGCCAGTTACCCTCTCAGCCCCAGGAAGCAGGCAATGGCAAACCACTTCCGAAAATCTTGCCAAGAAAACCACAGGGACTTGTCCAGGCAATTGCTGGGATCAAGACTGACTCAAAGGCAT